CTCTCTCTCTCTCTCTCTCTCTCATCATTCCTCTCATCTTTCCTCTCATCTTTCCTCTCTCATCTTTGATCTCCTGTCTTTCCTCTCTCTCTCTCTCTCTCTCTCTCTCTCTCTCTCTCTCTCTCTCTCTCTTCTCTCTCTCTCTCTCTCTCTCTCTCTCTCTCTCTGTCTCTCTCTCTCTCTCTATATATATATATATATATATATATATATATATATATATATATATATATATATATATATATATATATATATATATATTCATATAAATTAGAAAAAATCTAATCAATCCAAGTTTAACCTAAGCCGACTATTTCTAATCATTTTCTTTCTGATTGATCCAACCTAAATACACACAATCTGCTCTTTTCTAGTCTAATATGAATAACAACGTTATATTCTGTAGAAAACAAAGACTTTCTATCTACCCAAGCTAGAAAACGTATATAGAATTTTCACTGCCTGTATACGCTCAATCAAACATCTGAACTACTGTGAAAGCTTGAAGTCTCCTCAACTGTATTCCTTGGAACGTAGGCAAGAAGCGTACATTGTAATTTACACCTGGAAAATCCTGGCGGGATTGGTCCAAACCTGCACACCGACACTATTCCGTATGGAAACAAGAGATTTGGCAGACGGTGCAGAACACCTCTAGTAAAAAGCAGGGGCGTTACGAGTACACTAAGAAAACTTGATGAGTGTCAGAGGTCAACGACTTTCCAACGCCCTTCCTTCATGCATTGGCTAAGAGTCATCAGGAAATTGTGATTAGCGCTAAGGTTGATAATAATAACACGTCAGGAAACTGGTTGTTTCCTGATGCAAGTCTGTCATATGATGAGCCGCCACTGTAGGTTTTGGTCATCTGGCCGAGACCTTGTGCTGACTTACCAGTCCACCCCTTTAAAATTAAGATTATATCACAATCAATACTTCGTGTATAAGGGGAATTACCAACAAAACTCTTGCTATCTTTCAAGAGGGAGTTTGACAAGTTACTCAAATTAGTTCCTGACCAGCCGGGCTGTGGTTCGTATATTGGACTGTGTGCGGCCAGCAGTAACAGCCTGGTTGATCAGGCCCTGATCCACCGCGAGACCTGGTCCGGGACTGAGCTGCAGGACCGTTGACCCCCTCTAAGCTTCCTTCAAGTATCCCAACTCAGTCTGCTTCAGTCTTTTTTCAGTCTCGGCCTTTCTCAGTCTGTCTCGGACTGTCTTGGTCTTCAAGGGAAAAAATAAGTTTCGGGAAACCAAATTTCCCGGAGTTCATCAAGCTGGAGAGCTTAATGCTGATTGGCTCTTCCTTAAGAGGCAGTTAACCAATGAGCAGCGCCCATGAGCATGTTTTCGTTGGGCCGTCAGGCGTCCAGTCAACGCCTGGCTGTGATTGGCTCTTCCTCAAGAGGCAGCTTACCAATGAACAACGCCAGTGAGGATGTTTTTGTTGACGGTTAGTCCAGTCAGCGTCGTCTGGCTGCTTGGAGAGGGTGTGTATTTAGGCGGTTGTGCATTATAACAAAATATGTATATCAACATAATCTTAAGTACAAATACATAAAAGCCTGCATATGCACATGATATTAGGTGTATAAACACACACACCTTAATTGGGAAGGTAATATGAAAACAAATATTGAGAAACACAGAGGGTAATGAGAAATGTATACTGAACTTGAATATAAACACGCAAGATTTACTTACCATCTTACGTGTTCATGAAACAGAAAGAAAAGCCCAGCAATCCTGCAAGAGTGCAACGCATTTAACAGGCTTCCTGTTTCTTTCTTCCGCACACCATGACAGATCCCTCGCTCGAAAACTGCCTTTCTCATCTTCTCCAAAGACTATCATCTTCGCATTGGATTCACTCTCACTCCTTCTGAATCCTTTCCCATCGCATTCTGATGCTGTTCTGCACACTGATGGCGCTTACGTCCATCGGATTCTCCCACAACGACAGTGGCAGTCAGCAAGTATATTCACTGCCGAATTATACCCACTCCTGGCTGCCGTCATTGATATTACTGCCAATATCTGCCTTTCTGCCCATATCCGCGGTATATGGTCTCAGACTCTTAGTGTGGGTTACGAGTGGTCCGCATCTTTCATTCTTCCAGCTTACGAGTGGTCCGGACCTTTCATTCTTCCAGCTTACGAGTGGTCCGGACCTTTTATTCTTCCAGGTTACGAGTGGTCCGGACCTTTCATTCTTCCAGCTTACGAGTGGTCCGGACCTTTTATTCTCCAGCTTACGAGTGGTCCGGACCTTTCATTCTTCCAGTTTCCCTTGCCACACATACACAGCTTTGTTTAATGGACTCAGATGGCCGATAATAGTGAAGCACACCTTTATTATGGACAACGTTTCGCTCTGCATAGAGCTTTTTGCGGTTATGTTTCACTGTGTAGAGCTTTTTACGGTTATGTTTCGCTCTGTGTAGAGCTTTTTACGGTTGTTTCGCTGTGTACGGCTTTTTTCATTTTCGCTGTGTACGGCTTTTTTCATGTCAAAGAACGTGAAGTCTTGCATTTCAACCACTCCTGGAGTGCCTATAGTACCTGCAGTGCTTGTACCTGCAGTGCTTGTAGTACCTGCAGTGCCTGTAGTACCTGCAATGCTTGTAGTACCTGCAGTGTTTGTAGTACCAGCAGTGCCCGTAGTACCTGCAGTGCCCTTAGTACCTGCAGTGCTTGTAGTACTTGCAGTGCCCGTAGTACCTGCAGTGCCCTTAGTACCTGCAGTGCTTGTAGTACTTGCAGTGCCCGTAGTACCTGCAGTGCCCTTAGTACCTGCAGTGCTTGTACCAGCAGTGCCCGTAGTACCTGCAGTGCCCTTAGTACCTGCAGTGGTTGTAGTACTTGCAGTGCCCGTAGTACTTGCAGTGCCCCTAGTACCTGCAGTGCCCTTAGTACCTGCAGTGCTTGTAGTACTTGCAGTGCCCGTAGTACCTGCAGTGCTTGTAGTACTTGCAGTGCCCGTAGTACCTGCAGTGCCCTTAGTACCTGCAGTGCTTGTAGTACTTGCAGTGCCCGTAGTGCCTGCAGTCCCCTTAGTACCTGCAGTGCTTGTAGTACTTGCAGTGCCCTTAGTACCTGCAGTGTTTGTAGTACTTGCAGTGCCCTTAGTACCTGCAGTGCTTGTAGTACTTGCAGTGCCCCTAGTACCTGCAGTGCTTGTAGTACTTGCAGTGCCCGTAGTACCTGCAGTGCTTGTAGTACTTGCAGTGCCCGTAGTGCCTGCAGTCCCCTTAGTACCTGCAGTGCTTGTAGTACTTGCAGTGCCCTTAGTACCTGCAGTGTTTGTAGTACTTGCAGTGCCCTTAGTACCTGCAGTGCTTGTAGTACTTGCAGTGCCCCTAGTACCTGCAGTGCTTGTAGTACTTGCAGTGCCCGTAGTACCTGCAGTGCTTGTAGTACTTGCAGTGCCCGTAGTGCCTGCAGTCCCCTTAGTACCTGCAGTGCTTGTAGTACTTGCAGTGCCCTTAGTACCTGCAGTGTTTGTAGTACTTGCAGTGCCCTTAGTACCTGCAGTGCTTGTAGTACTAGCAGTGCCCGTAGTACCTGCAGTGCTTGTAGTGCCTACGGTGTTTACCCTGTCATTTTCTCTGTAATTCTGACCTTTACTTGAGGATTCGGTGCTTCCCACACGTGCTTAGTTCTTTTCATAATAATAATGAGGATCAACAGCAGTAGCAACAGCAACAGCAGCAATAACAACAGCAGTATCAACAGCAGCAATAACAACAGCAGTAGCAACAGCAACAGTAGCAATAACAACAGTAGCAGCAGCATCAATAACAACAGCAGTAGCTACAGCAGCAATAACAACAGTAGCAGCAGCATCAATAACAACAGCAGTAACAACAGCAGCAATAACAACAGCAGTAGCAGCAGCATCAATAACAACAGCAGTATCAACAGCAGCAATAACAACAGCAGTAGCAACAGCAACAGTAGCAATAACAACAGTAGCAGCAGCATCAAAAACAACAGCAGTAGCAACAGCAGCAATAACAACAGCAGTAGCAGTAGCATCAATAACAACAGCAGTAGCAACAGCAGCAATAACAACAGCAGTAGCAACAGCAACAGTAGCAATAACAACAGCAGTAGCAGCAACATCAATAACAACAGCAGTAGCAACAGCAGCAATAACAACAGCAGTAGCAACAGCAGCAATAACAACAGCAGTAGCAGCAGCAGCAGCAACGACAGCAGCACCAACAAGAACAGCAAAAGCAGTAGCAACAACAACAGCAGTAGCAACAACAACAGCAGTAGCAACAACAACAACAGTAACATCAATAACAGCTACAACAACAACCATACAGGTACCTTTGAGGAGAGCATCAGCTAGCCACGTGAGAAAATACGGTCAATTGACCAGGATTTGGTAGTGGCGCTTCGACCGATTTAGCAATGATTGCCCTCCATCCCTGCACTCTGATGTGCAGCCAGATGCATAGATAAATCAAATATATATATATATATATATATATATATATATATATATATATATATATATATATATATATATATATATATATATATATATATATATATATATATATATATATATATATATATATATATATATATGTATGTATGTATAACGTGTGTGCAACCATAGATATATAGGAGCTGTAGCTACCATGATAGTGTCAGGCTCAGGAGCTTTAGCCACCGTGATGGCTCACCACAGATAAGCCATGAAAGCCAGGCACGATAAGTGATATAGATTGTGTGTCTCTGTGATAAAGGTGTGGCGTTCGAAGCCAATAAAAGTGATTTATTAACATTTCATTATTGGAAGAATGAATTCATGGTGTTTCCTTAAATAACAATAAAACTAAATAGTCCTAACTAGAAGGTATTAGTTCATATAGGCTACCTAAAACTGTTTCCTAGTTGAAGTTGGTCAGTTTGTCGGTTAAAATTATCTCCGACATTCCTCAGAGTCTCACGTCTCTTATCTCGCGTGTGTGTGTGTGTGTGTATCTTTGCGTGTGCGTGCGCGCATGCTCTCTACATTCGTGTGACTCGGCTCAGTCTAGTTCTTGTAGGTTGTTCTCCTTGAGTAAGTGTTCTTTTCGCGTGTTCTTAAGTGTTCTTCACCTTCCGGAGGCTGACGCGGCCACCTTTCCCGCCAAAACCTGAAGAGCGACCGGCAAGTTTCCCGCCAAAAGAGAGGCGTAAAAGTTTCCCGCCAAAAAAAAAAAAATAATAGAAAAAAATAGCGAAAGATGATTTTCTCGGAAAATTTTCCTCTGCGGCCAAATTTATGAGGAAGTGAAAATATTTTTTCGAAAATAGCGAGTGAGAGTGAAGGTGTTGGGTGAGATAGTCTGAGAGACTACGAGTGAGACTCCCAGAGAGACTACCAGTGAGACTCCCAGAGTGAGAGACTACGTGTGAGACTCCCAGAGAGAGAGACTACGAGTGAGACTCCCAGAGTGAGAGACTACGTGTGAGACTCCCAGAAGTGAGAGCTACGTGTGAGACTCCCAGAGTGAGAGACTACGTGTGAGACTCCCAGAGTGAGAGACTACGTGTGAGACTCCCAGAGTGAGAGACTACGTGTGAGACTCCCAGAGTGAGAGACTACGAGTGAGACTCCCAGAGTGAGAGACTACGTGTGAGACTCCCAGAGTGAGAGACTACGTGTGAGACTCCCAGAGTGAGAGACTACGTGTGAGACTCCCAGAGTGAGAGACTACGTGTGAGACTCCCAGAGTGAGAGACATACGTGTGAGACTCCCAGAGTGAGAGACTAACGTGTGAGACTCCCAGAGTGATGAGACTACGCGTGAGACTCCCAGAGTGAGAGACTACGTGTGAGACTCCCAGAGTGAGAGACTACGTGTGAGACTCCCAGAGTGAGAGACTACGTTGAGACTCCCAGAGTGAGAGACTACGTGTGAGACTCCCGAGAGAGAGACTACGTGTGAGACTCCCAGAGTGAGAGACTACGTGTGAGACTCCCAGAGTGAGAGACCTACGAGTGAACTCCCAGAGTGAGAGACTACGTTGAGACTCCCAGAGTGAGAGACTACGTGTGAGACTCCCAGAGAGAGAGACTACGTGTGAGACTCCCAGAGTGAGAGACTACGTGTGAGACTCCCAGAGTGAGAGACTACGTGTGAGACTCCCAGAGTGAGAGACTACGTGTGAGACTCCCAGAGTGAGAGACTACGTGTGAGACTCCCAGAGTGAAGACGACTCGTGTGAGACTCCCAGAGTGAGAGACTACGTGTGAGACTCCCAGAGTGAGAGACTACGTGTGAGACTCCCAGAGTGAGAGACTACGCGTGAGACTCCCAGAGTGAGAGACTACGTGTGAGCTCCCAGTGAGAGACTACGTGTGAGACTCCCAGAGTGAGAGACTACGTGTGAGACTCCCAGAGTGAGAGACTACGTGTGAGACTCCCAGAGAGAGAGACTACGTGTGAGACTCCCAGAGTGAGAAGACTACGTGTGAGACTCCCAGAGTGAGAGACTACGTGTGAGACTCCCAGAGTGAGAGACACGTGTGAGACTCCCAGAGTGAGAGACTACGTGTGAGACTCCCAGAGAGAGAGACTACGTGTGAGACTCCCAGAGTGAGAGACTACGTGTGAGACTCCCAGAGTGAGAGACTACGTGTGAGACTCCCCAGAGTGAGAGACTACGTGTGAGACTCCCGAGAGAGAGACTACGTGTGAGACTCCCAGAGTGAGAGACTACGTGTGAGACTCCCAGAGTGAGAGACTACGTGTGAGACTCCCAGAGTGAGAGACTACGTGTGAGACTCCCAGAGAGAGAGACTACGTGTGAGACTCCCAGAGTGAGAGACTACGTGTGAGACTCCCAGAGTGAGAGACTACGTGTGAGACTCCCAGAGTGAGAGACTACGTGTGAGACTCCCAGAGTGAGAGACTACGTGTGAGACTCCCAGAGTGAGAGACTACGTGTGAGACTCCCATAGTGAGAGACTACGAGTGAGACTCCCAGAGTGAGAGACTACGAGTGAGACTCCCAGAGTGAGAGGCTACGAGTGAGACTCCCAGAGTGAGAGACTACGAGACTCCCAGAGTGAGAGACTACGAGTGAGACTCCCAGAGAGACTACGAGTGAGACTCCCAGAGTGAGAGACTACGAGACTCCCAGAGTGAGAGACTACGAGACTCCCAGAGTGAGAGACTACGAGACTCCCAGAGTGAGAGACTACGAGACTCCCAGAGTGAGAGACTACCAGACTCCCAGAGTGAGAGACTACCAGACTCCCAGAGTGAGAGACTACCAGACTCCCAGAGTGAGAGACTACGAGACTCCCAGAGTGAGAGACTACCAGACTCCCAGAGTGAGAGACTTCCAGGGTGAGAGACTACGAGACTCCCAGAGTGAGAGACTACCAGACTCCCAGAGTGAGAGACTACCAGACTCCCAGAGTGAGAGACTACGAGACTCCCAGAGTAAGAGACTACCAGACTCCCAGAGTGAGAGACTACCAGCCTCCCAGAGAGAGAGACTACCAGACTCCCAGAGTGAGAGACTACCAGACTCCCAGAGTGAGAGACTACCAGACTCCCAGAGTGAGAGACTACGAGACTCAGAGTGAGAGACTACCAGACTCCCAGAGTGAGAGACTACCAGACTCCCAGAGTGAGAGACTACCAGACTCCCAGAGTGAGAGACTACCAGACATCCTAGAGTGAGAGACTACCAGACTCCCAAGTGAGAGACTACGAGACTCTCAGAGTGGAGAGACTACCAGACTCCCAGAGTGAGAGACTACCAGACTCCCAGAGTGAGAGACTACCAGACTCCCAGAGTGAGAGACTACCAGACTCCCAGAGTGAGAGACTACCAGACTCTCAGAGTGAGAGACTACCAGACTCCCAGAGTGAGAGACTACCAGACTCCCAGAGTGAGAGACTACGAGACTCTCAGAGTGAGAGACTACCAGACTCCCAGAGTGAGAGACTACCAGACTCCCAGAGTGAGAGACTACCAGACTCCCAGAGTGAGAGACTACGAGACTCTCAGAGTGAGAGACTACCAGACTCCCAGAGTGAGAGACTACCAGACTCCCAGAGTGAGAGACTACCAGACTCCCAGAGTGAGAGACTACCAGACTCTCAGAGTGAGAGACTACCAGACTCCCAGATTGGAAAAATGAACTAAAAATAATAGAAAAATGTAAAATTAAAATGTGGAAATTAACAAATTTATTCAACAATCATTGAACAGTTCAACAATCATTGAACAGTTCAACAATCATTGAACAGTTCAACAATCATTGAACAGTTCAATCATTGAACAGTACAACAATCATTGAACAGTACAACAATCATTGAACAGTTCAACAATCATTGAACAGTTCAATCATTGAACAGTACAACAATCATTGAACAGTACAACAATCATTGAACGGTTCAACAATCATTCAACAGTTCAACAATCATTCAACAGTTCAACAATCATTGAACAGTTCAACAATCATTCAACAGTTCAATAATCATTGAACAGTTCAACAATCATTGAACAGTTCAACAATCATTGAACAGTACAACAATCATTGAACAGTACAACAATCATTGAACAGTACAACAATCATTGAACAGTACAACAATCATTGAACAGTTCAACAATCATTGAACAGTACAACAATCATTGAACAGTTCAACAATAATTGAACAGTACAACAATCATTGAACAGTTCAACAATCATTGAACAGTACAACAATCATTGAACAGTACAACAATCATTGAACAGTTCAACAATCATTGAACAGTGCAACAATCATTGAACAGTTCAGCAATCATTGAACAGTACAACAATCATTGAACAGTACAACAATCACTGAACAGTTCAACAATCATTGAACAGTACAACAATCATTGAACAGTACAACAATCATTGAACAGTTCGACAATCATTTAACAGTTCAACAATCATTGAACAGTTCAACAATCATTGAACAGTTCAACAATCATTGAACAGTACAACAATCATTGAACAGTTCAACAATCATTGAACAGTACAACAATCACTGAACAGTTCAACAATCATTGAACAGTTCAACAATCATTGAACAGTTCAACAATCATTGAACAGTACAACAATCATTGAACAGTTCAACATTCATTGAACAGTACAACAATCATTGAACAGTTCAACAATCATTGAACAGTACAACAATCATTGAACAGTTCAACAATCATTGAACAGTACAACAATCATTGAACAGTTGAACAATCATTCAACAGTACAACAATCATTAAACAGTACAACAATCATTGAACAGTACAACAATCATTGAACAGTTCAACAATCATTGAACAGTTCAACAATCATTGAACAGTACAACAATAATTCAACAGTTCAACAATCATTGAACAGTTCAACAATCATTGAACAGTACAACAATCATTGAACAGTACAACAATCATTGAACAGTTCAACAATCATTGAACAGTACAACAATCATTCAGCAGTTCAACAATCATTGAACAGTACAACAATCATTGAACAGTTCAACAATCATTGAACAGTTCAACAATCATTGAACAGTACAACAATAATTCAACAGTTCAACAATCATTGAACAGTTCAACAATCATTGAACAGTACAACAATCATTGAACAGTACAACAATCATTGAACAGTTCAACAATCATTGAACAGTACAACAATCATTCAACAGTTCAACAATCATTGAACAGTTCAACAATCATTGAACAGTTCAACAATCATTGAACAGTACAACAATCATTGAACAGTTCAACAATCATTGAACAGTTCAACAATCATTGAACAGTACAACAATGAACAGTACAACAATCATTGAACAGTTCAACAATCATTGAACAGTACAACAATTATTGAACAGTTCAACAATCATTGAACAGTACAACAATCATTGAACAGTTCAACAATCACTGAACAGTTCAACAATCATTGAACAGTTCAACAATCATTGAACAGTTCAACAATCATTGAACAGTACAACAATCATTCAACAGTTCAACAATCATTCAACAGTTCAACAATCATTGAACAGTTCAACAATCATTCAACAGTTCAACAATCATTGA